CCCGCCCCGCCGGCTGCCTCTCGCCTCCGGCGGGCACCGGGGCCCGGAGGAGACGGGCGACCGAGGCTGGCCTTGCTGTAGGGGCCTCGAAGGCAGCCGGGCGAGGGGAGTGGGGGGTGAGCGGTGGTTTGCAGGGCAGCGGGAACCCCATCGTGCTGCTGCCACCACCGCGGGGGCCACCGTGGGTCAGTGCGGCCACTACAGCCACCCATCTCCTCCTGGGACAGCCTCAAAGTGCAGAGGGATCAGCAGCACTGCGGACTGGTCCCCAGGCAATTCCGGACAAGGCTTTTTAGAAAGTAAGAGTAAACCGAACTCCGTAAATCGAGAATCACAGTCTTAAACAGAATGTGACTTAAGGCAAAGCCCCGTCATGTGGGTTCCTCTTGCAGGTGGAAGAACTGGGATGGTGCAAAGATGACATGACCAATGCCCTGACACACATTTCTTTGGAGCTCTAACAACTCCTTTGTGAGCTGTCCCAGAAGCATCCAGCCCTTGGCTGGATCACGCTTCGCTCCTGAGAGTCTGTGGCCTATTTCCCAGGTCTCCACTAAAGGAGCAGGACTCCCATTTCACCCTTGGTAATGAAAACTAAGGTAACCTCGCCAAACTCTCTAAGCCTCTCTGATTCACAGGGAGAGGAGTTACAAATGTTACATGGCAATGTTTCTATACACACACAACCCCAAATTAAAGAGCTGCCCTAGTTTCCACTCTGCTCTTTTGCAAACCTGTACCTGCCTCACTGTCTTCAGGGTTCACTATCCCTCTGCCCATCTTTGGGGTTCACTAACTCCATCACTCCTTCCATAACTAACATTCCATTTGGGTCAGCTCCACACTTGGAAGAAAATTTAGTTTCATTCTGTTTCATAATTAGCCTCTCTAGCTCCCTCCATAGTCCTATCCTTAAAAATGCCTATCACAGTGGGAAGTTAAAAGGGGGAAAAAAACAGACTTACAAACGTGAAATGTAAGTACATTTAAGCAACAGTTTTGCCTGCTAACTATGACAATACTATCCCCTCCTACTTTAGTCTAGTCTAATTATTTAAGACTGCTTGGTAGCACAATTGCATGAAATGATACAGAATAATGAAACAGTTGGAGTTGGAAGGGATTTTAAAGATCATTGACTTTCAACCCTCCTGCCATAGGCAGGGACACCTTCCACTAAACCAGGTTGCTCAAAGCTCCACCCAGCTTGGTCTTGAACACCTCCAGGGATGGGACATTCAGATAGTGGTTTAAAACAAAGAAACCAAACCAAACCAAATATCCCCATCAACTAACCAACAACAAAACAACCCACAAACCCAAAATGCTGCCACCTCACTGGCTACAAAGTTTTAGGAGGCTTTTTTTTTTTTTTTTATTTATTTCTTTTTTTCCCCTGAAGTGGTCTAAATTTAAACCCTGAAACACTTACAGGTCCAAAGCAGGTTGAGTGGAAGAAGTATGGTGTAAACCATGCATGTACAGTGCAGCTTTGCCTGGAGTAGGATTTTATTCACTTCTCTTTTGCAGGTCAGCTCTCTGTAATTTCAATGCTTTCTTCTCCACCACTCCAGCACAAGGTCAGTGTACTCCCATAAAGTTGCAGAGCCCAACTCAGCTCATGGACTGTTAATCCAAGATACAGTTATAATTTTCTATAAGAAATGGATTGTTTAGAGAGCAGATGTATCCTGTATCTTAGCCTAAACCATTAATTGGCTCAAATGTTTCAGCTTTTCGCCAGTATCAGAGGAGAAGCGAAAGACGACATGAACATGATGACCCATTCTGTCACTTCGTGCCTAGGAGTGCTCAAGGTGAATAAAAAAGCACATTAATGAGGCAGTTACAAAGAAAACAAATATTACTTCATCCCCAACAGTTTATCCAATAGGCTAGTGCTATTGCATATGGTAAGTTATGCATGGAAAGTTAAGTAACTCCTTTTCAGGTGACGGCATTTTCTTCATGTGGCTTATTACTCTAGGCTCAACCTGACCACATAAGAAGAACACAAAGCATTTTTGTCCCCAGTGAATCGGCATCTCTGAGGAGAGAATTTCATACTTTATATTTCTATAATAAACCAAACAAATTATACTAATTTAAGAGTAATCGTTGATGCAGGACAAACCAGAAATGCCAGCTTTAGACTGTCTTCTAGAACTGGCAGAAGTGTTACCCAGCTCTGGCCATTTGGTGTCCTTAGCTGTGTAGCACCCTAGTGAAGTGCAGACAGGCTTACCATCATGCACAAAGGAAAAGGAGGGGATATTTTAATGTAATCCAATGTAATAGCCCTTTTAAAGACTACCAGAATGACCATGAACTATACAAATTCACATACATGCTATACTTTATGGCAATTCAAATGTGCTTCTCATGGTCAGGTTTTCCCAGCTGTAGCCTTCCTTTCTTCAACAATTTCCTATATTTGTTTAGGATTTCTAAGAATGGAGAAGCCTAGCTGAGAGAAATTCTTAAAACACTAAACAGGAGGAGCACAATTATTAACTCTATGCAGGGTACAATCAAGTATCTAATTTATATAGTTTTAAGCACATGTCATGCTCCCCTCCAGCATTCCAGCTGGCAATTTCCAGGGTAAGAAAGACAAAAGTCCTGTCCCCCATTGAGGACATGTAGGTCCAATATGTAGGTCTGAAACAAGACATATTGATGCTCTTTTCCACAAAGCCAGGTGCTTTCCACACCCAAAGGTGCCTTTCCACCAGCGGGCTTCCCAGCATGAACGTACTTTTTTCCTCACAACCCAGCTACATAAATGCAGCTGGAATGCCTGCACATGTTTCCCTGTGGCTTTTGCCAGCCTGACAAACAGGCTTGGTATTTGAGGTACCTTTATTCTGCCTTGGTGTACAGGCCTCAATGCCTCTTCTTGTGGTGTCCAAAGACTAATCTTTGTTCAAGTTGATGTTCTGGAAGCAAAATAATGTTTTTTTTGGCAATTGTATCTCTAAATAGGCGTTTTCTCCTCTGAATAAAGAGCTCCATGTATTTTCAGTTCCTGAATTCCCTAGTGTGGGAAACCCAGTGGGTAGCCCCCCAGTAGCGGCTTGAGACACCTAGTTTCTTCCCTGCCTGTATGAATTAGACCCTCATTCACAGTTATTTGACCAAATATTGCCCAAATAAAATATAGCTATATGTTTGCTTGTTGGGAAACCTCTTGCAGTCATTTTGAATTGGATGTCACAGTCCAACTTTATGTAACGAGTAACAGTGTTTACAATGATACTATAATTCATAGGCAGAGTTATCTGTAGATGAGACATCATCAACCCACACACCCACAAGTTAGCTCAGGTGATGTGATTTGCCAATAATCCCTACTTTCTCTATTCCCTTCTTATTTGTGCTGACCCTTCCCTGGATTCATTCCAGCTTTCTCCTTCCACTGGGTTAACTCTGTGCCAGAGTTGTGAGTTGATTGACCAACCAAAGGTGCAGAGGAGCTGGTGCAAGAGGATCTTAGGGGCCGACACGCATTAGGTGTAACCCGCCCTTTGCACAGCACGGTGCATGAATGTCAGCTGGCACAGCAGCTGCGCTTGCCCAGAATTCAGCAAACCCTGCTGGATAGAGACTGGTTCATAGCTTCTCTGGCTGGGAGCTCACCAAATGAAAAGCGAGGTTCTAAGAAATCAGGAAGTTCCTACGGGATCATCACTCCTCCCCTACTGCCTGCTATGTGTTGAGGTGCGCACCAGTCCTCCTCTCCACAGCCAGCCCTGCTGAGGAATGCAGAGTGCGGTGTAGCTCGCAGGAGGGAGAAGAACCCCTTCCTGAACCAGGAGTAGCGGGAAGCGCTTAAGGAGCACAACCCGGCACCTGCATCGGGCGGGGTTCGGATACCCAGGGCACCCTCACTCCCCGCCCCGGCGGATGCTGGGGAGACGGCCGCGTGGCTAACAGGCTCCACGGTATAAAGCCATCACCTGTAGCCCCCGGAGAGTCCCAGGGCAGCCCCCGCCCAGCAGCGCTCACCTTTACCCCGCCGCCCGCCCCGCCCAACGCGGAGGCCCGCGAGCACAGCCCGCCCCCTGCCGGCTCCCCCCCGGCACTGCCACGCC